CACAGGCAGTTCTTCGCAGCAGGTTTTTAAATGGCAGCTGGGAGCTTTTAGTTCAATGGCAGGGGCAGCAAGTAGATGAGGCCACATGGGAACCACTCGATTCCTTCCAGCAGAGATACCCTGCTTTCAAGCTTGAGGACAAACTCTTGGTCTGGGGGGAGTGATGTTACAGACCAATTCTATGGACGTACATATGAACGAAGGAAGAAGTGTTGGGCAGAGAAGATAAATGACCAACGTGGCTAAGAGAAAAAGAAGAGAAAAGAAATAAGAAGGCCGTTAGAGTCATGTTAATATCAGTATTTAATTAGTCCTACTTTAATTAGTATTCCTGTATTTTAGTTGTGTTAGAATAACAACTTAGTTTCCTATTTGTTTTAGGAAACCCTTTATCTATTTAAGGGGATCCCAGCTACTTTAATAAACAGCTTTTTGGTTAATTAATCTTGAAATCTCTTGACTAGGTTGGGGATCGATAATTATCTATTAAGCCTCTAATTCAGTTCATCTATTCCCCGCCAATTAAAATAGCTCCAGGAACATCATCGTTTACCTGTGGTCAATCCCGTTCACGTCCTTGGACGAGGTCTCTGACTCACGCACTGAACACACTGCTTCCCTATTTAGTTGAAGTCCCGGAATGAAATTGGCTGCCATCATATTTATTGCGGCCAATCAGGAGCAATTGCGACATTGTTATGAACTTATGAAGTAATATTAGAAATAGCGCAAAGGTGGTTGGCTTAGTTAATACAATGATGCTGCGGAAGGATCATTGTCAAAACGTGCAAATTTAAAAAAAAAATAGAAATAGTGCAAAGGTGATTGGCTCAGTTACATTTTTGAATGATCGCAGTTTTGTCTTTTTCTTCTTCTTCGTTTGTAATTTGTTTTTAACAATATAGTTGTAGAAGCTAGAAGAGTCGGATGGTTCGGAACACTTCTTCTGTGAGGTCTTGCTTTAAACTACAGTGAGGATTGTATACTTAAACAGCAAGGTACTTGATTACTGCTTTAGTTTTGTTAGCTGAAATCATTTCGGAACAAATAAACTTTAGTAAATCTAATCACCTGCATCATAATGTTTTTCTCAGGAGGGGCTAGAATGAAGGTGAACAGAAGTAAGCATATCTATTATTGTTCTTTATTTTTAATTAATTGGATACACATAAATATCAAGATAAAATATATGTTGGTCATCACAAGTTAGATTCTTAATAGTTTTTCCTAGGTAAGTGTATTATATGTTTTGGTAACCTTACTTTTTGTTTTGAGTGAGATTATAACTGGTATTTGTATCCATCCTTTATGATGCTCATTTCTAATGTATTATATATCCTCATTTCAAAACCAGTGAGATCAGCTTTTTTGGACCCATCAAACCACACTCCAAAGTAAAGGAAGGAAACCAAGTTTCTGAAGTAATCCTTAGGTTCCGTCTTACATAATCATTTTAGCTGCTGTGATGTTTAATGGATATCCTTAGGGGAATGAATTTGATATTTTGGCGTGTCTTGATTAGGTGGTTGTTTCATAGCAAACTGGGATTTGGCAGATTAAGCAAACTGCCCAATCACACATCACACCTGGAAAGTGCTAGAAAAAATACACAAAAGTGTGAGTGATAACCCCCAGTAAATGAATATAATAGTATTAGAATAAAAAAACAATTGAAAACAGAGATAGCAATGTTAAAAAACATTCAAGTAAATCCTACCATAGTCTTCAACACAACTAAGTCCTGCCTTTTTTTGTTCAAGTCAATTAACCTGAACCTTAACGCCTTAGGTTGTAGGAGAGTATATCAGCAGTCAAACGAAACCGAGAAGTAAAGAAGGGGCATAAATAAATAAAACTAAAATGCCGCACGAATTTCACTATGAAATTTGTAGAAAGTATTCAAGATATTTATTCATTTATGTGTGATGTACTGCAATTTATACTATTCGTTTCTATTAAAGATGTACTGTGGAGGTGTAAGATTGATTTAATTCAGTTTAACATCAATTTAGTCCAGGAGAAATTTGGAAGCGCTAATAGTAAGATTTTTCATTTGTGTTTGAGGTTGGTGATTATTGACAAGTTCGAGCCGAAGGCCTTTTTAGAAAGGTTGGTGATTATTCATAGAAAGGCTTTATTCTGTTATCACATATTATGTTTTGACCTCATTCTTGCACATATATACCCAAGAGTTAATTTAAAGTTCACACTCTCTATTGAACCTGGAAATCAGGAGTTGCAATCATATGTTGTCCAGATCACAAATCTTTGCAAGGGCTTACCTACAGTAATTATCTACTACAACCAATAACCTATTCCCCTTCTCCCATAATAAATTTCCCCCTTTCCTTTTTTTGGGTTGTCCAAGACTTCCCTGTATAAACCTCGCATTTCCTTGCAAGGAAAGAGTTATGCGGATGATATTGTTTCTCAATTTATAAAGAAATTTTGACTACGAAAATTTGTTGAATGAAAACCTGTGTCGAGAGAAAGTGGGGAAGAATCAAGAATCACGTGACAAATGGTGTACATATAGGCACAGTTACATATCTTCATCGAGTATGGTTCTTCACTTTTTGCTTCAACATTTGCAAATTATCCTAGAATTTTTTGTATGGAATATGTCTGGCATGTTTTTATCTATATTAATAAAAGCTGCTTTATCATAAAAATAAAAAATGAAAGTTTATCCAAGCGTAAAAAGTTCCGGCAGAGGCTCCATAAATTCTCCAGGTTATCTGGTTGGCTATAGGTTTTGGAGAGTGGGCCTTGAAACTTGAGAGAATGCGCTCTCAAAAATATTCTTCCCCCCCTTATTTTTTCAATTTACTTGGGCATTTTCCAATGACTAAAGTTTCACTTTCATATGGTTTTAAACCACTTGAGCAGTTGAGCTACAGTCAATCATGCTTGAATAAAAAGTGAAGTAAATACAGAGTTGAGTACTTGGAGAACTTTTTTAATGATATAATTACCTAATGAGTTTTTTTCTTAAAATATAATTAAAATTTGTCATAAATAATTATTATATTAATAATTAATTAAATAAATGATTTATTATGACTAATATGCCCTTAAACTATTATTTTAAAAGCCTAATATCCTATTGCTTGTAAGTTGTAACCCTAAATCTTGTAGCCACATCCCCTGCATACAGATCCCCACCAGTGCCGTCGTTCGATGTACAGCGCCGCCGCCGCCCGACGTAAAGCCACGCCTCTGCTCGCCACACAGCCATGCTATCGCCAGAGAAAAGTCACCATCCCAGAACCTATGTAGCCTAATCGAGAAGCCGTCTGTCCGACTTGGGTGCCATGGCGTCGTCGACGGTCATCGCTCGTTCGACAACCTCCGACGAAGTCCAGTCACGCCGCCTCCACAGACGTTCGACCTGGGGAGTGCCGATTTGGAGCCCTATGGATGAGATTCTCTCCGTTCCTTCCACAGACGCCAGGTTGGGGAGCGTCGATCTAGATCTCGGGTCCCATGGATGAGATTCTCTTCTTTTCTTCCACAAACGCCAGGCCTGGGAGTGCCCATGCGGATGAGATTCCCTTCATTGGCAGCTCTGGGTTTGAAATTACACGCACAAATACTTCTTTTTACATTTTATTATTTGAGATTAGAGTCTATTGACATGAGCATTTAACATGAGCAGTAAATATGAGCATTGAGATTGGATAGTGAACTCGGAAATAGACAACGATGAATAAATGCATTGAAAAAAGTGTTTTGCAGTGATTCGAAGGTAATAGATAGTGTTACAACATTGACGGAAATTGCCGTGAATATACATGGTAATAGTCATGTTGTACAAGATAGTGAATTAATGCATTAAGAAATTTTGTTATGCAGTGATTATGACCAGAATTGCAGTAACCCAGAGCAGAAATACCATCATGAAATGCAATATACTTAATTAGAAGTAAAATAATACAATTATTTAATCTAAAAAACAAAAAACAAAAACTAAAAAAAATCTAAAGTGAACGAGAAGAGTATTAATTTTGGTGGAAGTGCAGTGATACTTATCGAGTGTGCAGTAAAATCGTGCATTAACGGCAATATAAAATGCAGTAATTTTAATTGGAAGAAATTAGTGCAAAATGACCATATTTAAAATAAGGGTATTTTCGTCATTCAACCTTTAAATATCAACGAAATTTATTTATTTTTTTAATTTTCAGTCATACAAAAGTTTAAAAACAAGTTAGGTCATAGATTGGGAAACGTATTGAGTTTTAGTAATATTCTAGGAAATTTCCCTTTTTTAATCTCTTTTACAATGTACCACACTAGGCTTGGATTCGGTTCGGGCCACCCGGCCCGGCCCGTTACTGTGTGGGCCCGGGACCGGCCCAGTCTGGCCGTCTGGGACCGGGTGTAGACTCGAACCGAGGGGGGGGGGGGGGGGGGGCTCGGTTTAGGCAAAAGGTGACCCGGCCGGGTCGGGCTCGGGTCCGGGTCTCCAATGGTCAAAATTCATTTTTTTTGTTTTTTTTTGTTTGGGCCACGAATAGCCATTGGGGGTGGGCTGGAAGGGGGGGTCTGGGCGGTTTGGGGGTGGGGTTAAAAAAAAACTATAAATACTCCTAATCTTAATCATTTTTCCATATCTTTTCTCCAGCTCTTCCTGAATCCTACTCTCTGCTCTCTAATTATCTTCATCTTCTCAAATTCTCTTATTCTCCAATATATTATATATCTACTTATATTATTTATCTTCTTAGAAATACATATATTATATTACTTATATTTCTTATCTACTTATATAGTTATATATTAATTATCTATTTATAAATACATATATTATATTACTTACATTTGTTATCTACTTAATCTCTACTTATTATCTATATCTACTAAATACATACATATTACAATTTATATCTACTTAGTTAGAATTGTTAGAATTTTATTTCATTAAAGTTAGAATTGTTAAAATTTTATTTCATTAGTTCGAATTGTTTTTACAAATTAATATTTGTTACATTTTTAAGATGGAAGGTGGTAGATATTCGGTTGATATGGGTAACCTCGAGCACAACCCAACAAACGAGCTTGCGAGGAAGAAATCCCGCAAAGATAAATCACATATCGGCTCTTCATCTCAAAGCCGAGATGATTTTGATACAGGTTACGCAAAGAGGGATGAGGATGCCATGACCCACGAACAACTAGAACAAGAATTGCCCCGACATAATAGTCGGTTTTTCCAAGACCAGCCGAGGACCATTGACGAAGAAGAGCTCGCGGACGACGATGTGGAGGAAGTAATTCCGGAGAGCCACGACGGCGACGTGGAGGAGGGTGGCGGCATCCACGACGCCGACGAGCCTGCCTCATCCCAAACAGGTACGAAAAAAAGTAGATCTGAACTAATGCAAAATAATTTTGATAAGTGGAAGGAACCGAACACCGGGAATTGGAACACAACTTGCAAGTGGTGCAAGAAAAATTATAGCTTAGGGATTTCCGACGGATACGGATCCGCCACAAGGCATCTTAAGTCCAAACACCCGGTGGAGTATGCCAAATTAGGCGACAGAACGGGGAAGCAAACTCAAATATTGAGATTTGCAAATAACCAACAACCTTTTGGTAATTTCTCTTACAATGATGCACAAAATTTGACAGGTATGACTAACTTACTTGTTGAAGAAAATTTGCCTTATTTGTTTTCTGAAAGTCTTGCTTTTCGTGATTATGCACAAACTTGTTTAAATCCTCAATATAGAGGTTATAGTCGCAAAACGGTTAAGAAAGAAATTTCAAGGCTCTATGGTGCGAAAAAGGTAAGGTTACAAAATTATTTTGCAAACGTTGATGGGCGTGTTACTGTATGTTCTGACATAAGGGAGGATAGTTATCGTAATTTACATTATTTGGGTCTGACTGTACATTATATTGATAATGATTGGAATATGCATAAACGTGTTCTTACTTTTCGTGAATTTAATGATCGTCACACTGCTGAACATATTTATATTTTGATTGAGCGTATTTTAATTGAGTATAATTTAATTGATAAGGTGTTTGCTAATTGTTTTGATAATGCTACTAATAATATTGCTGCTATTCCTAGATTGCGTGAATTGTGTGGTTCTACTTCTTTGATGAGCAGATTTTTTCATCAACGATGTGCATGTCATGTTATTAATTTATGTGTGCAAGATGGTCTAAAACGTTAGGAGCATCTTTGGAGGTAGTCATGGGGGAGATTAGACGTATTTGGGATAATGGTCAACTTAAAAAATGGCATGATTATTTCATAGAAAGAGGTGAGAAATATGTGGCTTTTTCTAAAGATTTGTCTATTCATTGGAATAGTACTTATAAGTTAATTGCAGTTCTTCTTGGATATAAACAACATTTTCCTGCTTTTATGAAACAATATGATAACTATATTATAAACTCGGCTGAGATCGACACCTGCGAAAAAATTTGTAATGCTTTGGTATATTTTAATAATGCAACTGAAACTTTTAGTCATGTTTATACACCTACCTCAAACCAATTTATTCGTGAAGCTGTTAATCTCGCCGGTGCTTTTTTAAATTAATTTTGAGAATGACGATTATGTGAGTTATTTTGCTGGTTTTATGAAGGATTTTTTTTAAAAATATTATTCACATATTCCGCATATTTATGGTATTGCATTTGTTCTGGATCCTCGTTTTAGACTTGGTTCTTTAGAAGAATGTTTGAATTATTATTATGCTGCTTTTTTTTGTCCAATGCCAATGTATGACGACAACCCAATTGATCCGAAAAAAGAATACAACGAAGTTAGTGATATATTTTATGCATTATTTAATGAGTTTCATGCACAATATGGCAACGCCCCCCTCCCCCGACACAAACCTCTTCACCTAAAGGAAAATCAATTTTGAAATCTACATTTGCCAATCTTATTAAAAAAACTAAGCACAATTAATGAGATTTCTTTGTATTTAACATATGATGTTGATTTTGAAGAAGATGATGACTTTGACGTTCTAAACTAGTGGAAGGGAAAATAAAGAATGTTCCCGGTTTTAGCAAAGATGGTTAAGCAAGTGCTATCAATGCCAGTTTCAACAGTTGCCGTCGAACAATAATTTAGTTCGACCGGCAATGTCCTAACGCAATCTAGAACGAGGTTGAGCGCAGAATCTCTTGAGATGCTTATATGCTATCACGATTGGTTGAAGGCGGTCCGTAGAGCTCAAGAAATTGATATCACCCCATCCCAACACTTTATGGATGAATCTACAACCGATGGTGGCTCTACCTATTACGAAGATTCCGATTGATTAGTATTTCATGTTTTAATTTTACCTTTAATTATCATTTGTAATTTCATATTGTATTTTTTTCTTAATTGTCAAATGTAGTTCCTATTTCACTTCAAATAAATGCACTTGAAATTTGTTTTTAATACTTGTATAAAACTATAAAGTATAAATTAAAAATAATGGATTTAACCGGCCCGGCCCGGCGGGTGGCCTGACCCGTGACCCGGGCGGGTGGCCCGGCCCGAACTGGAACCGCCTGTACATCGGGCCAATCCTGGGCCCACCATTCACAAACCGGCGGCCCGACCGGGCCTAGGCTCGGGCCGTGTCCGACCCGGCCCGAATCCATCAGGGGCGGATGTACTGCTTAAGGAGTGGGGGCATGTGCCCCCAATAAAATTCCAAGTTTTTTCATATATGATATAGTCATTAATTGTTAGAAAGTGATTTGCCCCCAATAAAAATTATGAGTTGCCCCCAATAATTTTTTGTGACATGCTAAATTGTTATATGAGTGTCTCTCTAACTATATCATTATATGTGTTAGTTTTTTTTAAAATGAAATCAATTGAATTAACAAATTAATGTAAAATTCTCAAGAAACTAGATACATATAATTTAACGGAGTATTAATTTATTAAATAACCAGTAATCATTATTAAATGCAATTTGTTACTTTCGATACGGTAACTATAAAGGTTACTAAATCTAGTCATGTAGATTGAGCTATTATGTCACAATTTTAACATATTTTTTTTACATATCTATCTTCAATTATTCAATATTCACTACTACATTTTTAGACCTAATGTAACATTAATGATGTAACATATCTATAATAGTGTTACCTATTTCTCTAATGTAACACTTTTTAGATCTAGTGTAACACTTTCTAGAAGTATAAGTGTTACATTAGGTACTATAAAGTGTTAGAATAGGTCAAATGCAACACCAACAAATGTAATGGTAAAACAATGTTACATTTTCTCTGAAAAGTGTTACATTAGAGAAAATGTAACATTTTTTTACCATTACATTTGCTGGTGTTGCATTTGACATATTGTAACACTTTATAGTACCTAATGTAACACTTATATTTCTAGAAAGTGTTACACTAGGTCTAAAAAGTGTTGCATTAGAGAAATAGGTAACGCTATTATAGATATGTTACATCTCTAATGTTACATTAGGTCTAAAAATGTAGTAGTGATTCATGCCGTAAATAGTAAAAACTAACAATTTTCATATAAAATTCCTATTCAAATCAGGGTTCTATTGGATTAGTTTTAATGTCACTACTTTATTTAGAGTTTCGAATGTCAAACAATTCTATTAACTAAGTTTTAATTGTATACTTAAATTATTATTTACTTAAATGCATACTTTTAATTTACTAAATTAACACGCCAGTATGTCACAATTAATACATTAATTAGGTCTCTAACTTAAACATTGATTTCTCCTAAATTTGTCCAGCTTTTAATAATTTCGGGACTGAAATAGTCGGTATTATAATGAGTTAGAGTGCATCTTCCACTTGAATAATATTTTAAATACTACGTAGTATTTAATATAGTTATTTAAAATGTTATCAAATTGATAAGTCTGAATTATGTTGTACTTCAGCTTAGTTGTTTGTAAGGTTAAGATATGTAGGGTTACATGGCTGAAGTGAGAATGAGACTGAGCAGGGGCGGAGCCAGGACACTGGACCGAACTGGCCGATACAAAGAAAATTTTTGGAAAATGTTTTGTCCGAAATTTTTTAGACTAAGAAATAAGACATTTTTTAAATTTGGGCTGGGCCAAGGCCAAGGTTGGCCCTCCCCTGTCTCCGCCCCTGGGACTGAGGTCACACTTCCTCCTCACCCTCTCATTTTTTGCGCTAGTATACAAATACTTGTGGTGTATAACTATTATTGTGTTCTAATATAGACATTTGATTCTAGTAAAATTACTCTGACATTTAATCCGTTTAAGAAAATCTCTCGCTGTAACCTTTACGTATGCCCCCAATAAGTATATTTCCTGGATCCGCCACAGGAATCCATGCCTATACCACACCAAAAATGGTGAACTTGAATAATATTCAAGTTCTTGCAAGGGTGGTGTACACATTTATCACTGCCTGGAATAATAGTTTGAGGAGTTTCAAACTATTTGAGGAGTCGGCCAATATAAATCCGTCAGATTTGTTTTTGACAGTATTCCCTCTAGCAGTCGAATGCTTATAATGCTTATATTCACTTGATATGAAAGTAAGCAAAATGCCCTCTTACTGTTTTGCTATGTCCATATATATATATATATATATATATATATATATATATATATATATATATATATATATATATAATATGGGTGAGATCACATACAAACCATGCTTAACTTACTAACCTACAAACTCAATAATATTCAACACTTTGAACTTCAATATGCAGTACAAATAATGTAAAGATGCACTCTTTGAATTTCAATATGCAATACAAATAATGTAAATATGAAAGTGCTGTTTTATGGCTTGAATAATATGAAACACTTCGAACTTCAATGTGCAATACAAATAATGTAAAGATGGTTTGAATGAGAGGACTAGTTTGTATGTGATCACATCCCTGCATCTTTACGTTATTTTTAATGCATATTGAAGTTCAAAGTGATGCATATTATTGAGTTTGTAGGTTAATATTTTAAGCATGATTTGTATTTGATCTCTTATCTATATATATAGGGGAGGGTTCAAATACAAAGAGGTCTTCCCAGGCAAAGTGAGAGTTAATCTCGTGCGTTCATTTTGAGATCTAATGGCTCAAAATGAGCCAAAAGTGAACTAAATTTGATAAAAAACGCGGTGACAATTTTGTAATTAAAAAGATGTTTTTTGGCATCGCGAAAAGTGCAACAGAAACACGCAAAAGTGCAACGCGGTGAAGAAAAAGTGCAATTGTTCGCACTTTGCACGGGAGAAACTCTTTTTATTTGATCTCTTCCCTATATATATATATATATATATATATATATATATATATATATATATATATATATATATATATATATATATATATATATATATATATACTGCCTTGTTTTAAGACATACTAAATCTGTCCCAAATTGGATGTTTTGTTTTAGTTTAACAAATACATTAATAAAAAGATTGTGACTGATGTTTGAGTAAAATAAAGTGAAATGATATGTACTACATATTTTTTGTAAAAAACGAGACAAGACATTCATTTTGGGATAATAAAAAAGGAAAATAAGATAACCAAAATGGGACCAGGAAGCAGTCACCAACGCCATTAAAAATAGCCTTCTGCTGGGAAAGAAAAACCAGCAGGTCCAGTTCAGTTTCATCATGTCGGTAATATATACTACGTATATACACGCAGTGAACCATGTTTTGTCCAAGAAAACTAACATTTTATACCACATTAACCTTCTCAGAATGGAGACTTGCAACCTATTCATCGTTTTCACTTGTGAGACCATCATCATCATCATTGAATCTCTCATAATCTTCATCCAAACCATCATCTTCCTCTTCCTCCATCATGCTATTACTTTTTCCTTATTTATCCTTTAAACTGGTGTTCAAGACAACAGTTTGTCCACTTGAACTGTCATGTCTCTCCTCAATTTCTCCATGTTCTCCAACCTGCTTTCTTCTTCCAGACGTAGCTTCTTCTTCCTTAGAGTCTGTGTTTTAAAACATGCACTATCAATTTTTTAAATTTGAGTAAAAGTTTTCTATGTACTCGGTCTTTATGAGCTCTTGAACCCCCGTTAAAAAGAGGAAAAGCGTATTCTAGTTAATCTCTAATGCAATCATCATTAGGCCAATCCCAATCGGACGGTACGTTGGGAGATTAAGGGGGGTGTATTGAATATGGATTGTGATGGATTTTTTTTAATCCGTGGACTTTTAAAAAAGTCAATGGACTTTTAAATCCATAGACTTTTTTATGAATAAATTCTATGGACTTTTAAATCCATGGATAAGTTTATTGACTTTCAAAAAGTCCATAGACTTTTAAATGCGAACCACCACTGCTGGTCGTCGAAATTTTCACCTAGACCGCCGCTACCGATATGCCTGTCCGCCTCCGTCACTTGAGTTCCCCGCTGTCGTCATCAGACTGATCCGCCACCAACAAAATCGATTTGGTTATGCAAGGAAATTATGGACAATTACTTATATTAATTAATTAAATTAGGGGCGAATATGTAATATTTAGTCCTATTTAAGGAAAATCAAACATATGATCATACTTTAAGAAGAATGCTACTCCGTATGTTTTAGTCCTACCCTGAATAATTTCCTCTGTATAATACAGAGTATGATAAGAAACAAATAGATAAATAAATAAATAAATAGATGAAACAAATGTAATTCATATTGCAACACAAAGTTCTACAAGAATAAATGAAGCATAAGAATCCAAATTTATTTTTATTAAAAAAACTCAAAGTTTCAAGAATGCTCAAGAATTTTGGTCATTTTATTAATGAGTAAGAATATTAATCGTTACACTCATTGTTACATGTGGTACAAGCACAGTTGCAATCGAGTTTATCTTCTTAATAATTATTTTCTTTTCATTTCTATCTTGTAAAATTTTGTGTACTTATTTACGGTTATATATTTATTAATTTGAAATTATATTTTTATGTGTTAGCGATTTAACGATGAAAGAAAGTAATGGTTAAAATATTTATTTTCTTAGTGGTTAAGTGACGACGTACCAGAATTGCACTGATGTATATTATCGATTCTTATACCAGTTCTTCTAGAAACTTTTAGAATCGAACCAGTATGAGATTAACGAATCGAGGAGGGTGGGGCAAGCTGAAGAAGAAAAAGAATGAAAAGAGAGGGGTGGAGCGAGCTAGGCTGAAGAAGAAGAATGATCGAAGGGGAAGGGGTGACTTGGCTAAAGAAGAGGAGAGTTGGCGGGGTGGGGTAGGGGACGGGATGAAGAAACGATATAAGAAAAGTCCACGGAAATCTTTAGTGAGGAGAAGAGATAATCGAAGAGAATTAATGTATTAAAAATGAGTTAAAAGTCCACGAGAATCCATGATTTTATAAATCCATAAGAATGAACGGAACTTTGAATATGTCTAGACTTTTATAGACTTTTAAAAGTCTATATTGAATACACCTAGACTTTTGTAGACTTTTAAAAGTCCACATTGAATACACCTAAACTTTTAAAATCCATGGACTTTTAAAATTTTGCCACTAATTTCTAATACAATACACCCCCCTAAATTGAACTATAATCTCAATCTGACAGATAGAGAGTGAGGCTCTGTCCGCGGTACTTGAATAGGTCCTAATTTAGGGCTGCACAAGAATAACCCAAACTCGCATAACCCGCCCGACCCAACCCTACCCGATCCTATTAAATCGGGTATTTGATTTTTAAAAATATTCATGGGTTAAATATGATTGAATCCGCACCTAATAAGTAGGGTTGCAGATTTAAAATCTCCAACCCGATAGTACCCGACCCGTCCGAAGTTCATTTTACTATTATTATGCTACAATGTTTTCTTGGATAATTTCAATTTAAGACCAATGTGCTCTATCTAGGACTTTATGATATTAGAATTATAATTAAACATTTACCATTTTGACTAGGTGATTATTATATATTTATGTTTTCTTATAAATGATCTTCCTTTACGGAAGGATGTTTTAATACTATTATCTAATGTTTTTGCTTATAAAAGATACGAGTACTTGTATTTGTTTGTGTGCTTTGAAAACAAGTTAATCGAGTTTTAAATTGGTTACATTAATCTCCCACATAAGATGCAACCCGAAGTGATTTTTTTTCAATACCCGACCCTACCCGACCCGCTCATGCATGGTTTACCAACTTATTTTGCGTATCGCGGGTTGAATAATAGCCGACCCGAACAAATCCGGTAGGGCCAAAAATTATAGCAAACCCGACCCAACCCGCCCGTTGCGCAGCCCTGGGTCCTATGCATATTTTTAGCATAGTAAAATCTCACCGCAGTTGCCGGGATTTGAACCTGGAACCTAACACTTGTGGCAGACTCTCGCTACCAGTTGAGCTACACCCACCGGTGGGTCTTTAGTTGATATATTCTTAATTTAGCACTATAAAGGATATTTTTACCGACAAAACAATCCCAGACCAGACCAGGTTTAAAAAGACCAGACCAAACTTAAATAGACCAGACTAGACTTTCGTAGTTATAAATTGGGAGAAGTATCAAATAAGCCCTCGAACTTTCATAAAAAGTGCAAATAAGCTCTTTTACGACTTGGTTCGGCTGTCTTCATTTGGGGAGGTTTCCGGTGGAAGTTTTTGATGAACTTTTTTGATCATCTTATTCATTAAGTCTAGTTTACCCATACCCATTGTTCTAAAACTCGCTAGGCGCTAGTCGGGCGGTTGAGGGGCACCTAGCGTCTAGGCGGCCGACTAGGCCGATTAGTGTTCCTCAGTTAGGGCTGCCTAGGCCGCCTAGGCCGATTAATCGGTCCGACTAGGCTGATTTTTAGAAAAGTGCCCATACTAAATTTCAGCTAAAAATTCAATCGAGAGAATGTTGTCAAATGATTTTCTGAAATATACCGCGCTATCTAACTACGCAGTTATCTTCAAAAATTCATTTGACTGTCTTCCCAATTGAATTTTTAACTGAGATTTGATGTGAGTAAACTAGACTTAGTGAAGAAGAAGCTAAAAAAATTCATTAAAAAGTTCCACCGGAAACCGCCCCAAATGGCGACGACCGGACAGAACCTCCTATAAAAGAGCTTATTTGCACTTTTTATGAAAGTTCGAGGGCTTATTTGGTAGTTCTCCCTTATAAATTATATAGAGACCAAACATTTACCAGATCATCTCAAATCAGACCAGACCATATTTAAATCAGACTAGTAAATTTTAGTCCAAGTAAAAATATTCACATTCAGGCAAAAAAGAAGTGGAGAAGCTTTGGACGGAATAAGGGGATGGAATTCTATAACTTCATTAACAACTAGTACAAGATTGATATTGGCATCGTCAAATCAACATATATATATAATATTGAATAAGTTTTAGAGATCGAGTCTCTGCATGTGTATCGACTATCGAGGCAGATATCTAGTTTAATATGCTAAGAAATTAAATACAAATAATCCACATTTGTAGTACAAATTTTTAACTTTTCATACCTTTCTTTTTTAAGTAATTGCCTCATATAGGACTAAAAGAGGAGAGAAATTCTCAAATAGGACATAGTATGATTATTTCCCTAAATAAGACTATTTTACTCCTATTTGAAACATCCGTATTTTTTATTCCATTATTACCCCCTTATCTCTTTTACGCTCATCTCTCCTCTCCCATTCTCTGTGCACATCCGCAGACCTGTTCTCTCTTGCGCACACATCTGTATCTCTTCTGTCACTGTGCATCATCGACTGAGTTCACCTTAGCCATCTCCGCCGTCGCCGATTTCGCCTTGCACACAAGATCGATTGATTTCTCTCTCACGCCGCCACTGCAGTCGATTCTCCGTACGCCGCTGCCACTAAGGTTCTCCTCCATCTTTCTTCTTCTTGTTCTTCTTCTTCTTCTCCATCTTTCTTCTTCTTCTCCATCTTTCTTCTTCTTCTCCTTCTTCTTCTTCTTCTTCTTCTCCTTCTTCTTCTTCTTCTTCTCCTTCTCCATCTTTCTTCTTCTTCTACATCTTCTTCTTCTTCTCCATCTTCTTCTTCTTCTTCTCCATCTTCTTCTTCTCCTCCTCCTCCTCCTCCTCCTCCTCCTCCTTCTTCTTCTCCATCTTTCTTCTTCTTCTTCTTCTTCTCCATCTTTCTTCTTCTTCTTCTTCTTCTTCTTCTTCTTCTTCTTCTCCTCCTCCTCCTCCTCCTCCTCCTCCTCCTCCTCCTCCTCCTCCTCCTCCTCCCCCTCCTTCTCCTCCTCCTCCTCCTCCTCCTCCTTCTCCTTCTCCTCCTCCTCCTCCTCCTCCCCCTCCCTCTCCCTCTCCCTCTCCCTCTCCCTCTCCCTCTCCCTCTCCTCCTCCTCCTCCTCCTCCTCCTCCTCCTCCTCCTCCTCCTCCTCCTCCTCTTCCTCTTCCTCTTCTTCTTTTCAATTTTCCTCCATTTTTCTGAATTTTGAATTGATTTTTCCAATGTTTGAGACTTCTATTTCAATTTTCTGGTTTTTAATTTCAGAGTTTTAAAAAAAATCGATTTCATAAATTTTTGGATGATTGCTTCAGATTTGGCCAAGTTTATAGCAAAAATATGTACATTTACAATCATATTATGGAAGAAATTCTTTTTTATAAATTGGTTTTTTGTTTTTATGTCAATAGCTTCATTTTTCTAATTTGTGGTTGTGTTAAAATGTTTGTTCCATTAAAAATTTTATTTGTTTGAATATTTGGTTATTTACTTCATGTTTTTTTTGCCAAATTTATGACAGTTTTGTGTTACTATGCCAAGTTGAATTTGCCAACTTTTTTGGCAGATCTAAAACACTTGTTCATGGCAGAAGTGAATCTAATCCTCAATGCTAAATCTGCCAAGTTAATGGCAGATTATTCCGCCTCAGGTTTCACTGTTGTGGCGGTGCTCAAAGGACGGTGGCTTGGGTGGATGGTGACGCCGGTCAGATAGTGATGGCATAGATGGCAACGCTGGTGTGGGAAGCGACAAGGGATGGCGATGGATGGCGACGGTGCGTCGGGAAGGATGCGGTGGCAGATGGTAGACGGCGAGGGCGACAACAGGGAGCGTAGTCGCCGGAGAGGGCAGCGTCAGGTTGCACCGGCGAGGGGTGGCGGCAGGTTGCGTCGGCGAGGGGTGGCGGCAGGCGGTTTGGCTCTGGTGGCGACAATGCTCTGCTAGGGTTTCAATAATTTTTTATTTTACAATTTTAAAATTTAAAAAAGTAAAAGAGGGGTAATTTTGTCCAACTGTACTGAAATTGATCCTATGAAAGTTGTGTTTCGTTTTTTTTTTGAAGAAAAACTACTTAATTCTCATTAATCAAATCATTGTTCAAAACATGAATAATAAAATTAGGAGGAATTGAAAACCAAGACCGGCAACCAGACATAGAACACGCAGTCTGGGCTAACCCATGGGCCACCTTGTTCGCAGATCGCCTAATATGACCAAAGGACACCTCAGAAATCCTTGTACAGATATCTCGAACATCTTCAGCAACCACACCTGCCGCAGAAATGCTTGACCCATTTTGAATCTCCGCCATCGCTCTCGTCGCATCAGTCTCCACATCGACACAGTTCCAACCGCATTCCAAGACCCAACTCAAAGCCTCTCTAATCCCGATTAATTCAGCCTCCCAAGGGGAAAGACGCCCTTGCCACACCTTGGCTGCACAGGCTAAAAAGTCCCCGTTCTCATTTCGAAGGACCCATCCCAGCCCACACCTATCAGCCCGAACAGCCGCATCAACATTCAATTTAACTCTGCCAGCTTCTGGTTTTGTCCAATGCGTCCTCTCCATCCTCCCTAAGCCTGCCGCAGAACTCTCCCGCAGCTGAGCCAAATCCCAACCTGCAACATAAAATTTAGTTTGCAGAAGAATTTGGTTTGAAGCCAAGACAGCCCCATTCCAGACCCTACGATTTCTCTCGCCCCAAATCCCCCAGCAGCCCCACACCAAAATCTGTAGCTCCTCAATCGAACGTCTCTGAAATTCAGCCCTCACCATCCCAAAAAAAATCAGTCCCACCAGTATTCCTCCAAGTCCACTTCACTCCAGACCACGCATCTTTGACCACCGGACACAACACAAATAAATGGAGCTCCGATTCATCATCTCTTCCACACAGCCCACACACTGTTGCACACTCCACCCTCCGGGACTTTAAATTTAGCCTCGTTGGGAGAAGCCCGCACATCAGTTGCCAGAAAAAATGTTTAATCTTTGGTGGCAGCCTCCACTTCCATACCGAGGTCCAACCACACCAGTTTACCTCTTCAATCTCCCCAACAAGCTGCCTATAGCAGCTTCGAACTGAAAAACGGCCGCTAGACTCCCATTTCCAACACATCATATCTGCAGTTTGTTTATAGCTAACAGGGATGCTTCGAATAAGGTTAATGTCCCTCTCCACAAAAAGGTCGTTTAAGATATCTGTGTCCCACTCCTTCCCCAACACATGAAGCAGACTAGCCACATTCGCCTCCTGCAGACCTTCAACCGAACTGGAAATAACCTTGGATTGGACCGGGTCAGGCAACCACGGGTCAGTCCAAATATTAATGGACTTTCCATCCCCCACCCTCCAATAATACCCCTTTTTAATTACATTGTGAGCTTGGAAAATACTCTGCCATATGAAAGAAGGATTATGACCAATCTTGGCGGTCCGAAAAGTCCCACCGGGATAATAGCGTGCTCTGAATACCTTTCCCACTAAAGTCTCAGGTTCAGATAAGAGTCTCCAAGCCTGTTTAGCCAACATCGAAATATTAAACTCCCTGATTTTCTTAAAGCCAATGCCTCCAAATTGTTTTGGTTTGCATAAGAAATCCCAATCCCTCCATCTAATTCCTTTTCAGGATTTACCATTCCACCAAAATCCATTCATAAGTATTTCAATTTCTCTACACAATTCTTTAGGAATCAAAAATACATTCATGGCGTAGGTCGGCATAGCTTGGATTACCGCTTTCAACAACACTTTCCTTCCTGCCCTAGACAGAAAACGGTTATTCCAATTCTGGATACAGTTGACCATACGCTGTCTTAAATAGGATAAAATAGATTTCTTATTTCGCCCCACCAACGACGGCAAACCCAAATACCGCTCTTCAGAGCCTGCAACATCAACTCCCAACAACTCTATCAGTCCTTCTCTGTAGGCGCTCGACACATTAGTACTAAAGAAGATCTTAGATTTGTGAAGATTAATCACCTGCCCCGAAGCAACCTCATAATCATGCAATACCTCTTTCACCAAGGTAGCTTCCCCATGCGTGGCCCTGAAAAACAATAAGCTATCGTCTGCAAATAATAAATGGGATATACTTGGAGCACCGCGTGCCACCGCTACTCCGTGAAGGCGCCCAGCCGCTTCATGCCACCTCAGTAGGGCACTCAACCCCTCCGCCACCAACAAAAACAAATATGGGGATAAAGGATCCCCTTGTCGTATACCCCGATAGGGTAGAATTGGTCCTATCTCCCCATCATCGAAAGGAATAGAATAAGTAACAGACTTCACACATTCCATAACCACATCAATCCATCTGTCTTCAAACCCTAGCTGCCTCATCATGCTCTCTAAAAAAGACCACTCCACCCTGTCATATGCCTTACTCATATCTAACTTAAGGCTCACAAACCCCAGTTTACCTCGCGTTTTTCGTCTCAAATAATGTTGAGACTCAAAGGCCAGCATAATGTTATCAACAATGGACCGCCCCGGAATAAATGCACTTTGATTTTCAGAAACACACAATCTCAACACAGCTTTCAATCTATTAGCCAACACTTTGGCGTAAATCTTGTAAGCCACATTACATAACGAAATAGGCCTCCAATCACCCAACAACTCAGGACTGTCCTTCTTAGGAATTAAAACAATATTAGTATGATTAATTTTATGCGGCAATTTACCTGAATCAAAAGCGTCTGCACAGAACTTGAAAATATCAGGCCCCACCACGTCCCAATAGTGCTGGAAAAAACCCGGACTCATACCATCTGGTCCAGGGGCTTTGTCTGGAAACATAGCAAAGACCGCTGCTTGGACCTCATCCCTTCTAATAGGTCGCAACAGCTCATAATTATGCCGATCCTCCACCCGCCTATGGACTGCATGAAAAATGTAATCTTCACTATGCTGCACAGATGAAAAAATATTAGCAAAATAATTATTGATCAGACGCCCAATCTCTGATCTGTCGCTCTCCCAGCCTCCGCCTTCCACCCGAATCCCCTCAATCCTGTTCTTCCTTCTGCGCTGCTTCACCGAATTATGCAAAAAACGAGTATTGAGATCGCCACCCTTGAACCAAAACTCCTTAGCTCTCTGCCGCCAGAAAATATTCTCTTGCTCAAGAAGGTCAAGGTATTCCCCTTTAGCTCTCTGAAAAGCCGCTATACTCCTCCCATCCGTCTTGTTACGTAAATACTGGAGCCTTCTTCTACAAAAACTGATTCTTCCGCCAAAAGACCCATTCTTCCTCCGTCCCCACTCACTAACATTTTTGCCACACACCTCAATTTGTTCTACAATCCCACTGTGAATTCCCAGCCTCCAACTTCTAGCCACCAACGCCCGACAATCCTCATCCCTCAGCCACATATTTTCAAACTTAAATTTGCTTCGCCTATGGAACCTCCGGGAAGGAAATAGCCTAATAAATAAAGCTAAATGATCACTAGGCGCCCCTTCCACCGACTCGGCAACAACATCCCCGAAGATATCCAACCAATCCTCAGAAACCAAAATTCTAATTTTTCATCCACCCATGCCGGAGTTCCCCGCCACCTCTCCCAGGTAAACTGATAACCCTGAAATGGAAAATTCTGCAAGCCGCACTCCCACACCGTTTCCCGAAAACCCCTCAACAGCCATGGTGGGTGTGGCACCCTACCTCTCTTGTCTGACTCTACCATCAGATCGTTAAAATCTCCCATAACCAACCAAGGAATGTCATTCCCCATGCTAAGAGATTTCAAAAGATCCCAGGAATCTCTCCTTCTGCTCCTTTCCGGATACCCATAAAACCCCGTAAACCTCCACCAGGGATCTTGGGTCTCCAGCCGCACCCGTGCATCAATAAAATTAGAGGACGATGCCCGAATGTCAACCTGCACCCCTTCTCCCCACAATAGAGCCAGGCCGCCCCTGTGCCCTACACTTTCCATGACATAACAAGATTGTAACCCCACCTTCCTCAACACCATATGGATTCTGTTGGTGTTAGCAAACGTTTCCATAAGAAAAACTAAAGTTGGCCTCTTCAAGTGGACTAAGTCCACCAACGCTTGAACTGTCGAAGGATTTCCGAGCCCCCGACAGTTCCAACTAAAACAATTCATGGTTCTCGGTGGGTCTGGGGACCAGAACCTGCCGCTCCTCCGTTTTTTGGATCACAAAAAGCCACCACCTCACCCGACCCTACTGCCTTCCTCTTCTTCACAGAACTTCCCTCATTTTGCTCAACCTGCACCGAAACATTCCAATTCTCACTTACTGCCAGTCTGCCAGTAACTTCTCCACCCATCCCTTGGTGAATAGTAACAATATTGCCTTCTATTTCTCCAGCTTCCGCCTCATTTTGGTACATATTATGTCCTTCTCCACCTGCCGTGTAATCTGTTATATTTCCTCCCATCAGATTGCCTTCGCCGTCTGCTAACCAGCGACTTCCCCTACCTGCACTTCCTCTCCTTCCCCCCGCCCGAAGCCAGCTGCCATACCGCCTTTCCTGGCCCTCTCCTGCCCCATCAAAACGATGAGGACACATCCTATCTACATGATCCATGAGGCCACACAGAAAACAAAAGTGAGGAAGTCTCTCATACTTCAGTTCTGTCACAAAGGAATCCAAGCCATTTTTCAACTTCACTCGACATTTCAGTGGTTTGGAGATGTCAAGGTTTACCCGGATCCTCATATATTCTTTCCACCCGCCCTTATAATTATTAGGATCAGCCTTCAAGAAACTCCCCACCTGATTCCCAATGATATTAGCCATCTTCTCCGTAAAGTACTTCATCGGAATTTTGAAGGCCTGTATCCAAAAAGCTGCATGGGTCAATGTAACGGATGTAGGATCTTCTTCAGGCTCCAGCTTGTGCAGGATCAACAGGTTGTTCTCGTACGACCAGGGGCCATCAATCAACACCCTCTCCATATCCGCCGAATGAAAAAATTGGAAGAGATACCGGCGATCCCCAACCTCCTTAATATGCACCCCTCTGCTCGGTCTCCAAACGTCGACAATTGTATCCCTGAAAAAGGTGAACTTGATCGTTTTGTCTGACAGAATCCGCCCAACAAGAGCCCAACAAGAATTTGCGCTCCCTTTGCAGCAGTATCATCAAACTCCACTCCATCGGAGTCATCATCCTCCAAATTCATCCTAGCACACCTTTCTTCTAAATCGGACGCCATGCTACGAACGAGACTCAATGTTTACGTAAGAAAAGATACCCTATCGCAGTAAGACGGCAAAACCCTAGAACTCTAGGGAAGAAGACTTCTACGAGTGTTTTGAAGTTCTGACGCGTTGTGAAAGTTGTGTTTCGTTTATAGTCCTAAATGTGTAATTAACTTTGCTATTAGTCCTATTTGAGTCATTAACTCTTCCTTTTTACATAAATATAGATTATTCATATATGTTGCCTTTAAAGGAGCACACGTGTACACATGCATGCATACTCGTGTTCATAAAAATAATACTCCCTCCGTCCCGAATTGAATTGAAAACTTTGACCGGCATAAGGATTAAGAAATGACAATAAATGATGCTTGCTTTTTACACTTTTGCCCATCTTTCTAAAAGTAGATGTCTTTAAGTTAATGGGAAAAAGTAAAAGTAAGGATAAATTTATCACTTTATTGTTATTTACATACCTAAAATAGAAAATGGAAAACATTTTTGGGACAAACAAAAAAGAAAATTTTGCAAATCAAATTGGAATGGAAAGAGTACAAAAACTGTGTATCAAGAGTCTAGACTCGCAAGAAACTTCTTGAGGGGTAAGTAGAGCTATGTTGAAAAAATTGATCGAGACGGAAAATTGGAAATGCAATGATGTCAAAAAAAATTAAGAGTCCATTTGATAGTCACACTTTTCAAGTATTAATTTATACGAAGTACTACCTCTGTTCCAATTCAGTTAGCCATCTTTGACTTTTCAGTCAAAGATGGTAAACTTTGACAAATTCTTTTAACTAATATATAGTATACTCATGTAAAATTTAATAATTTTATATTTCTATAATAACTTTTTTGACACATAAATTTTTTATATCTTTTTGATATTATCAATACTTATGTATATAAATATATAACTAGTCAAACTTAGACATCATCGACTTGAAAAATAGTGTTTGACTAACTAAAATGAGAAGGAGGGAGTATTAGATTTTTTAAGCATAAATTTTTAGATTTTATACGCATAATTTTTTAGATATTTAGGATATTTTTACTTGGATTGAAATTTGCTGATATGGTCTGGTTTGTTTAAGTCTGAGTTGATATGGTATGGTCTGAATTGGTATGATCTGATTCGATAAATGTTTGATCTCTGTGTATTTTATAAATATGGAATTATGAAAGTGTGAATTTAATTAAAAGAGGATGGATGGAGTATGAAAGTAGCGAGGACCATTTTTTATTTTTGAACCAGGAGTTCGGAATCTTCTTGTTTCAATTGAGTGCGTATAC